TCCAGCCCTCGTATTCTACTAAGCACTACTAGATGCGATTCGATGGCTGACACCTGTAATCTTAGTGCCTCGGAGACTGAGAAAGAGGAAGACACGGAGTTGGAGGCCAGCAGGGTACATACAGAAGGCATCAAGCTGGCCTGGGGTACAGAGTGAAACTTTGTTTCAGAAAATGTTTCAAAAGTAGATTGCTTCTGAAATGATGCACCGCTATACTCCTGAGTTGATACAGTTGGAACCCAGGGCCATGCACATGTTAGACAAGAGCTCTTCCACAGCCCTTACCTCTTAGACTCTTTTCTTGTTACCGTTCCCTGTGTAACACACTAGAGAAGCCCTGTACACAGCATTGGCACTGTATCAGGTGTTCTAGATAATCTAGAGACGTTGAAAGTGTAGCAGGGTGACCGGAGGTTAAGGCAGGATACCGGCAACTGCTAGTTTGTGTTTTGTTGTTTTTAATCAAACAAAGTTGGAGCTTATGGGGGAAAAAACAACAACAACAACAACAAAAAAAAAACAGGTTTGCGGGCCAGTGAGAGGCTCAGCCAGCAAGAGTACTTGCTTTGCAAAATGACAACCTGAATCCCCCAGATTCCATATAAAGGTAAGAGAAGAAACTCCACAAAGCTGCCCCGACCTCCACTTGCATGCTCACAGGCTAACAATAATAAATGCAATTAAAAAAAGAAAGAAACTGGTTTGGGGTTTTGTTGTTGGTTTTGTTTTGCTCTTGTTTAGTTGAGATAGGGTTTTACATATTCCAGGCTTGCCTTGAACATTTTGTAGCAGAGGATGACCTTGAACTTCTGATCCTCTACGCTCTCCTTCTTGAGTGCTGGGTTCCAGGTGTATGTGGTCCTGGGAATCGAGTCTGGAGTTTTGCACATACTACCGGAGCACTCAGGTAGCCAAACTCCAGCTCCAACCCAAGAAATAGTTTCTTTGTTTTTTTGTTTTGTTTGTTTGTTAGTTTTGGTTTTTCGAGACAGGGTTTCTCTGTGTAGTTCTGGCTGTCCTGGAACTCACTCTGTAGACCTGGCTGGCCTCGAACTCAGAAACCTGCCTGTCTCTGCCTCCCAAGTGGTGGGATTAAAGCCGTGCGCCACCACCGCCCGGCTAAGAAATAGTTTTAATACAGATTTAAGCATAGGCATGAGGGAAGAGGAGGGTGCTTAGGAAAAAGACAGTGCACATCCCAAGACACCGGTGTGCTCCTCCAGACCAGGTCACCTATTTTCTTTTCAAACAAGGAAGCAGGATTGGTGACTCAGAAAGTAAAGGCAGTTACTGCCAAGCCTGATGATCTAGTTCAGTCCCTGGACCAGAGTTGTCCTCGGACCTGTCCTTCTCCTCTCTCTCCCCCCCCCCTTCTCTTTCTCTCTCTCTCTCTTTCTCTCTCAAATGCACACACACACACACTCACACAAAATTATCTCTATAAAATATTTATTGTGTAAACATATATATGCAATCCAGGCTGGTTACAGAACTCTGAAACTGACCATGAACAGATTCTCCTGCCTCTCTAGTGCCTGGGCCATGAAACCTTGCTTCTTGGTGGCATGTTTTTCCTTCATACCCTCTGTCCCATGTTTTTACATTGTGTATGTAAATGTGTCATGGCATATATCTGGAGGTCAGAGGACAACTTTAATGACTATGTTCTCTCCTTCCACCATGTGAGTCTCAGGGATTGCCCTCAGATCTTCCGGCTTGGCAGCCCACTTGCCTGGCCATCTTGCCCAGCCATCTTGCCCGGCCATCTTGCCCGCCCCCATGGCATTTCTAAAAGGCTCCCAGGTGATGTATTATCACTTCTCTTGTGCCATATTAGGAGTGATACAGGCTTAAAGACAATTCCCAGCTTTCTTCCTATGCTCTGCTTTATCTAGCTCTGTCCAGTTTCCCTGTACCGTCTCTACCTGCTCGTTCTCATCCCGTTGTAGTGATGTGAGGCTTTCTTCGCTTCCTGCAGTATACCAAGTTCCTGCCTCTGGGCCTTTGCACATGGCCCCTGGTTGGAGTGGCCCTTTCCTGGGGAACCACGTGAACAGGTAGCTTCATTTCCTTATTGAGATCTCTGCTCAGTCCAGTGTGGTGTACACACTTGTCATCCTATCACTTGAGAGACAAAAGCAGGAGGATCAGGAGACCAAGGTCACACCATAGTGAGTGCTTCAAAAACAAAATAAAAGCGACCAACCTGAGTTCTGTGATTGGAGACCTTTTCTGGACATTACTTTTTCTTCCTTTATAGCACCCGACACTCTCTGAGTTTATTGTTGACCTGTGTGTGTTCAGTTTAGATTTATTTCTACGTATGTTTATGTGTGTCTGTGTGAATGTATGCCTGTGACACATGCCGTCAGCTGCCCAAGGATAGCAGGCAAGAGGGCGACGTTTGTCTAGTCTCCAGCCCTGCTGCAGCCACCATGGTGGTATGGATAGGCACGAGTGCCATAGACCATAGGACAATAAGGTGTCTGTGCCAGGGTTTGGAGGTAGAATACGGTCCCAATAGCTAGAGAGGTGTCACAGTTGGTAAAGTGCTTGCCGTGCAAGCCTAAGGACCTAAGTTTGATGCTCTAACACACATGTAAAAGGTGGACCAGCAAGACATGCCTGTGGTTCCTGAGGCTCATCAGTCAACTAGAACTGGCAACCTCCAGGTTCAGTGAGAGACCCTGCCTCAAAGCAACAAGGTAGAGAGAGATTGAGAAGTCCATTGACCTTCTGCACTATGGCTTCTCAAAGCATGCTGTCTACAGTTGCAGCATCAGTACTACCTAAGAACTTGCCAGAAATGCAAATTCTCAAGGCCCAGGCTCAGATCTGTGGATCAGGAAACTACTGACTCTGGGTCTATCATCCTAGGATGAAGGGGTCCTCCCCTTGACTGTGACACTGTTCAAGCTTGAAAAACCACCATTGCAGTTTTATTTCCGGGGAGTTACTTCTCTGACGCAGGGTCTGGAGTGGAGCTATGGTAAAAGTCAGGGCTGGGGATGTGTAAATATTGGCAGAGGGGTCTTGTTCACAGAGTGAGGATTGTTATATCTTCATAACCCTTTGAGACAGGGTCCCACTAGATAAGTTAGGCTGGTCTCAAGTAAGGAATCCTTCTGCCTCAGCCTGTAAGGTGCTGGGATCATAGATGCGAGCTCCCACACCTAGCTGTATCAGTAATTCTTTTTGTTTAGCTCTGTTTGATTACTTTTATTTTATGGGTATGAATGTTTTGCCTGCATGTAGGTATGCGTAACCGAGGGGATACTTGATGCTCACAGAGGTTAGAAGGCATCAGAGCCCCTAGAACCGGAGTTACAGACGGGTGCATGCAAGCCATCACATGGGTGCTGGGAACAGAATACCTTATCCTTTGCAGGAGCAAGTGCTCTTAACTGCTGAGCTATCTCTCTTCCCCGACCCTGTTTTGAGGTAAGACCTCACTATATATGTAGCCCAAGCTGGTCTTGAATTCACTATTTGACCAGATTGGCCTTGAACTTACAGAAATCCTTCTGCCTCTGCCTCTGGAGTGCTGAGATTAAAGGTGTGCACCACACTTGGCTTCAATTCCCCCCCCCCCCTCTCTCCAAGACAGAGTTTCTCTGTGTAGCCCTGGTTGTCCTGGAATTTGTTCTGTAGACCAGGCTGGCCTTGAACTCACAGAGATCCTGCTGCCTCTGCCTTCCGTATGCCATTGCCATCTGGCTCGTTTTCACTTTATTTTTATTGCAGAACATGTGAGATGGACTGACAGGAGAGTGAGCAGGTGTGGTAAAGCTTAGATGTTGGATCAGGGCTGACTGGGAAATACTGCTGCTAAGACCACTGACTGCTTAGGCTTGGGGTCTCATCTAGACAAACGTGAGGTTAGAAAGGAGCTAACATGTATACACAATCACATATGCCAGTAGTTAATCTGGGTGGTGTACAAACATAACCTCTTTTTAGAAACCCTCTGGGCTAGATGGCTATGACAACCCCATTTGATGTGAAGGGGGAACTTGAGCATTCAGAGGTAAAGCCATTTGTCCAAGTTCACATACTGGGTAGTGGAGTGGTGGGAATCAAATCTGAACCCAAGTTCTCTCTGCCTTGAAACTCTTAGAAGTGTTCCCATGTGGCGTCTGCAAGGTATGGGTCACTAAACTTATTTTGTTGAACAAATAGAACACAGAAGAAAGAAAGTCCTTTTTCCTTTCCTGCACAGTAAGTTTGGTGTGACAATTCAGGGTCAAATTCTATGTGAACACAAACACAACTCAGAATCAAATGTTGTGAGATTTAGTTGAAGGTGGGTGTTTTTTCTTTTCTTTTGATAGTGTTGGGGAATTAAACCTAGGGCTTTGTGTTTGCCAGGCAAATGTTTTGTCGCTGAACTATACCCTTAGCGCATTTCCATACATGGTAACCCCTAAGCTCACACAAAAATTTTGAGACCCTCAATATTCCACAAGACAGGGTAGTTATCTGGGACTGAGTCTTCAGCCCCTGCCCCACCCCATTCGCTGGTCTTGGGAAACTACTGATGTGTGCGCTTGCGTGTGTGAGAAGGGCGTAGTAGTGGGAGATGGGGGTAAAGGAACCGAAGGGGATTGGGAATCAAACTCCCAAGACCACGACGCAAACGAATTGGAGCAGGCGCAGAGCAGCCCCTTCTGGGCGTCAGGCGGGGCCAGAGTAAGGGCGGGGCCCCGAGGGCGCGGGCCAGAAGGCAGATGCAAGGCGCGGACTACAAGTCCCAGGATGCGACGCGGCTCTGATCCGGCCCCCGCGGTCGCTTAAAGGCTCAGGCAACCACAGCCGTCGGGTCGCGGAGGCTTTCACTTTGCCGCCGCGTCTGGGCGGTAGGAGGAGCGGACTGGGCAGCCGGCTTTCGGGACTGCAGGCTTCGGTGGCGCCGAGGGGCGCTCCTAGTGCAGCCTTCCCGGCTCGGGGCTTTCCTGCCGAGGCGCCCGTGACCCCGGGCTCCTCGCCTCGGCCCCCAGCGGCCCCGATGCCGAGGCATGGATAGAGCGGCGTTGCGCGCGGCAGCGATGGGCGAGAAGAAGGAGGGCGGTGGCGGGGGCGCCGCGGCGGCCGCGGACGGGGGCGCAGGGGCCGCCGCCAGCCGGGCGCTGCAGCAGTGCGGCCAGCTGCAGAAGCTCATCGATATCTCCATCGGCAGTCTGCGCGGGCTGCGCACCAAGTGCTCGGTGTCCAACGACCTCACGCAGCAGGAGATCCGGACCCTAGAGGTAAGGGGCCGTTGCGCCCCACGTCCGGACCCGGCAGTGGCCCGGGAGCCGCCCCACTGCTTTCCTTCCCGAGTTGCATCCTGCACCGGGTTTGCTGGCTGGAGTCTTCCTCCCTTGCCCGAGCTCGCTGATGCGGCAGCGTGAGGACCTACGACCAGCGCTCACTTTGGAAGAATTTAGGGAGGAGGGGGTGTTAGTGTGGGACTAGATCGAGTCTCCAAGACCAGCGCGCACACGGGCATCCCACTGCAAACCCTTTTCCGTCCTCATCCCATTTCCAGTGCCCAACAGTAGTCATTGTCCCACTGAATCACGCGCCGGACTTTTCTCCGTGTGCTTTATGTTCGGTAGCGTGGGCTGAGGTGATGGGGGCGGGGGGGGGGACGTCCCCTGAAGTGTGAGCATCAGTCGGTGGCACTGACTTTCCCCTCATTTCCCGCTCTCCTTGTCCGTTCCTTTCCTCTCCACCAGGTCTCTACCGCTTTTCAAAAAGTGTTTGCTGAAACAGCATTTTTGCTGTTCGGGCGTTGGGGTGCTTTTCTTTGGCGATGTCACAGCGGTTCACTGCTTAAAATGAAATTACTTCCCTACTCCACCCCAAACATTGAGCTTTGGCCTAGGAAGGATTATACTGGGGAAGGGAACCTTTGGTAAGAACAGGCTACTTATAAGGGGGTTGCTGACAGAGATGACCTGGAGTGCATTGAAAGAAACAAGATGTGTGAGCTGCCTTCTCTCAAATTATAGTTGTGAAGTGCAGCATTAAAAGGATTTGGAAGAACCAGCCAGAAAGGTGGTTAGGATTTCAGAAGGGGAAGCTCCCCCACTCCCTTACACATTGGAGGAAAACTAGTGCCTTCCCAACTTGCTTTTGCCCAGAGACTGAAAGGCCTTTGAAAGTGAAGGGGTCAGTTAATAACTCTGGCCCAAAGAAGGGCCTTTCTCCACCGGCATCACCACATTTGGTGTCTGTAGGTCTGAGGATGTCTAATTAGATACATAATTTCTGTCTTTCTACCCCCCCCCCCACACACATACACACACACTATTGCTAATTGCATCTGCCAGCTGTCATAGAGCCAGCCGGTGATGGCTGTAATTATTACAAGTCCAGTCCTCCCTCCTCTCACACCACAAGCCTGAATCCTTGTTTGATCCAAAATGCTCAGGGTGACTCTCCCGTAGTTGTATTTTCATAAAAGCCATGAAGCCAGGGACATTGGGAGACTCCAAACAGTGCTGGCTATTATTATTGTTTTTTGTTACGGTTGCTATAGCAGGGCTGACCAGCTTTGCTTTAAAAACAAACCAACAAAGCTCTGCACTGGGCTTTTCTGCATGTGGAGTTCTTGAACACAGCTGAGTGTGTGTGTCCAGCAAAGTTCACTTTTTAAGCTGATACAATAGGAGGCCTGTGTGCCATGGTTGTGGGGTCGTTGTCCTGCAGTGTATATCTGTTGGGTTGCTGTGTTGTTGGACATTGAATGTTCTGTGTTGGCCTTTGTGACTCCTCCCCAGGTCCCTTTGAGGTGCTCTTGGATCCCAGGGTGTATGTAGAATGGCTTACTCTTTATTCTCTGCAAATTCTCTTTGTCTTCCAATGTTGCACATTTTGACAAAGTTGTGGCATCAGATACCCCAGGGTCTCCAGCTGTTCAGGCCTCTGAGCTGGTTAGGCAGCAGCCTCCCTACTGGGTGCATTGTGAGGTCATCCTTGGTGGCTTCTGAAGGCCTAAGGGCCATTTGCAGTGTGAACAAGACACATGCCCTGTTCTTTGCAGTGTATTTGAAGGGTCCTTCTGGTCCCTGAAAAGACAGGACTTTGGATACCATTTCAAATGGGAATTTTGACCTTGGAGCTGGTTCCTTAGGATTATTGTCAGCTAGTTTGGGTGAATCACTTCATCTGTGGGGCCTTAGCTTTCCCATCTGCTCTTCAAGAGATGGAGTGGTTCCCTTCACTCTGTTTCTGAAAAGCTCTACATTTTGTGGTTTAAGTGATGGGGGTGGGGGCTGGGCAGGTTGGACTAGATGACGACTCTGTTGGGTTAAGTTAATGTGTATATTATTCTGTGTAATGTCCCTATTTAAGAACAGCACTGGACAGGTTATGTAGGAGATGTCTTCATTACAGTGAGCATCTTGACCATAGACGTGCAAGGAAACAGAGAGCCCACACAGCTTTGTAATCCGTTCTGTTTCTGTCTGGATGACCTTGGGGCAAGCCAGATAAGTTCAACTCTCAAACTTCCTCACCTGTCTGTAAAGTGTGAATGGAGTGCTTTTACCTGTAGTGTTTGATGGAGTCTGTGTCTGCCTATAAACTTTTTCTGGATGGGGCCTGGTGACATCCATGCACAGGGCACCTTTAGAAGAAGAAGTACATAGAACTAATTTCCTACAGGTGATGACATAGGGCAGGAAGCAATTCAGGAAGGCTGTATCAGGGCAGCCCACTCTAGCAGCATGTAGAAAGGCAACTAAGCCAGGCCAGTCTGAGGAGGCCAGAAGAGGGAGTCAGAAGCCCTGGAACTGGAGTTACAAGTTGTTACCTGCCATGTGGATATTGAGAAATGAACTTGCATCCTTTGCCCAAGTAGTGGCATTTGTCCAGCCCCAGATTTCTGATGTATATCTATATATATAATCTATATCTGTATGTGTATATGTATATGCATAATTATCTATATGACCTTGAGACAGGTGTCATTATGTAGCCCTGACTGAACTCAGCATATAGATTAGGCTGGCTTTGAACTCATGGCTATTCTCCTGTTTCTGTCTCTTGGCTGCTAGGATTACAGGTGTCTGGCTGGAGAGTTTGGCTTATACAAGAATATCAGACTTCTGGCAGAACCTCAAGAGGCACAGGACACTTGGCCATTCTTAGCTAACCTCTCAGTGGGACTGACTGGTAGCTCATAGGATGTTCCTTGTAGGACCTTGACCAGGGGCAGACTGCTTGTGAAGATCCCAGGTCATGATAGTACAGTCAGCAGTCCTGTCTGCTGATGGCTTTGCTCTGTGGAGCAGTTTCACTGGGTTGAAAAGGGAGTTAAAGGAGGTGAGAAGTATGGCTCACTGGTCGAACAGCTGCCTTGCATACTTAAGGCTCTGTGTTCAAATCTCCAATACTGCATTTAAAAGGGGAAAGGGAGCCAAGGTTTGACGTTCACTTCCTACCTGCCTAGTAGTATTCTAGTTTCTTTTCAATCTCTTGGGAGATACTGGAGCTCCACCAACTTCATCCCATGCTTTCCCTGTTGAGATGGAAAGCACAGAAGGCACAACCAGAACTCTGTGTGTCTGGAATGAAGTTGCAGGGCTGTGTCATTGGGTAGGATCTGGTGCCCTGTCTCTGGCAGGCTCTCTAGAGGCAAGCAGGGATGTTGTCACTCTCCAGCTGTGCTTATCAAGGGACACCTGGCTTGCTATACAGCTAGGCCTGCTGGTCTCATCTGTAGGTTCACTGTGTCCCATCTGTGCACTGGGGACAGTGGTGTGCAAAGCTGGTCTCATCTGTAGGTTCACTGTGTCCCATCTGTGCACTGGGGACAATGGTGTGCAAAGCAGGTGCCCACATCGCCTCATGTCTGTTCACTTTCTTGGTTCTCTGTAATCTGTTCTTTCATGCCAGCATATTAGCACCTCCCAGAAATGGGTTCCATCCTGGCTTGGTGTCTCGTATGGGTTGCAGGGTTGTTAAAGGGCTTAGCTCATGAAGGAAAGGATAACAGAAACAGTGTGGGTACAGTCTCTGCATTTGGCCACTTCCCTGAGCAGAGCTACCCTGGAGGCTTTGCCTGGGAAGGCAGAGAGGACTCATCTAGTGGGCTGGGCAGTGTTTTCTGTGTTAGGACCTGCCTTCCTCATGGCCCTTGGAAGTGTCCAGTGGAACTGCTAAAAGTGAAGGGATGTGCTTACTGGCCAGGCCTTCCATTACTACCTGTGTGTTCACAGCAACCCTAGCTGGTGGCTTACATTGGCTCTGGTAGGTGGAATACCCTCCTGGTCTTTGGGTGTGAGGGGCATGTTCAGTCTAAAGCGGTCATCAGGCAGTGAACAGCAGAGCCTCCACTACATGGCTGGCAGAGAGCTCTTCCATGTGGGCCCTGAGTTAGGAATCCTGTAGAATCCATCAGTCTGACTTACTGGCTCCATAGGAAACATTGCCAGAGTCTGGGTGACTTTTCTCAAGTCAGACCTTCCCAGAAAGATCCGACTAGAACCTGGTTCTCTTTTCCTAGCTCAGGTAGTGTCATTTCTCTTCCTCAGTTTTAACTGTTTGCCTGAGAGACTCCAGTTATCACCCAAGGGACATGGAGCTGAGGGCCCGAATCCTTTGGTGTCCACTTTCACCTTGGTGACTTCTACCCTGGACAGACCCACTTCCCAACTCCCCCGAATCCTTTGGTGTCTACTTTCACCTTGGTGACTTCTACCCTGGACAGACCCACTTCCCAACTCCTTCAGAGAGGTCTAAGAAGGACACGCTGTGTGTGAAGGCTGTGAGCCGAGGCAGGCCTGGATGCTGGAGGGAGGGAGGCCTTATCACATCTGCACCCAGGACCTGCAGGCTGGGGATGCTGCCTGGGGTAGGACGGAACGCTTCCTAGCTGCAGGGCTGTTCCTTCTCAGACACCTGGTTTGGCTCATAATCCTGGGAAGCTGCATTCCATTCTAGATGCTTCCCTGCCTGCCTGCTGGCTGTGATCCAGAGAGGGACCGTGCACAAAGGTGCCTGTGGTGACACTGACAGCATCTGCAGACGTGAGGAGAGGTAACAAACCTTTGGTTGAGTCCTTAAACTGAGCTTTAAATTTTGTCATTACATTTATTTATGGCATGTGTGTGGTGGTCAGAGGACAGCTTTGTTGAATCAGTTCCTTCCTACCATGTAGATTCAGGGAATCAAACTCAGGTTGTCGGGCTTGGCTGAAAGCTCCTTTACTTCCCTGAGCCCTCTTACCAGCCCCCTAAGCTGTGAGGTTTTTGTGTTT